TCATTCATGAATTTCTGAATGGGGAGTAGCACTCCCTATGGAGGCTTCTCCCCATTCATAAACTGCTTGATAGTAAATATTTTACTATCAGCAGTTTCTGAATGGAATGGGAAGCCTCTGTACTGAGTGCTTCCCATTCATTGAGTGCTGAGGCTGCAGAAAAATACATTGAGGATTTGTTTAATGTTTAAATGTTTAAAAAAATGTTTAAAAAAAAATGTTTAAAAAATTTTAAAAAAAAAATGTAAAACAAAATAGAATTATTTTAAAAAAATGTGTAAAAAAAAACAAACTAATAAAAAAAAAGGACAACCCCTCCCTCCCCCCACATAACACACACATATTGTGGTGCACACCATGCATATGCGCTGCAGTGCGTTGTTAGAACGCATCGCAGTGCATGATCTTTTTTATTTATTTTTTTTCTTTAAAAAAAAACATTAAATTAACTGTGGCAGCGCATGGCAAAGCTTTGTGACTCATTGCCATGCGTTGTGATACCTTGTGTTGCAATTAAATATACACCTGTATCATTTTATCACAACACAAACACCAAAACAATTTTTTACATAAGTCGATTATTTACAGTTTTGCATACCTTCATTTTTTTACCTTTTCGCAAAAAGGCGCAATTACAAATTTGCTAATATTTGTTATTTATTAACTCAATACAGTTTTATCTTTTAGATTTAGTCAGAAAATAATTTTTTTTGTGCACGGATACTGATTTTGGTGTGTTTTAACAATTGAATTGTGTATTTTTATCGGTTTAATATTAATTTGAGAAACATTTGCGCAATTATCGCAGGGCCTACAAATTTAGTATCACCATCTTTTTATTCTACCGGGCCTGCGCTTTCAGAAAATATATGGTTTGGGGGGTCTTTTACAAACGCTAGCAACGCAGCAGTTGAAAATCAAACCAATAGGAAAAAATTGCAGAAAATTCAAAAATGGCTTGGCCAGCTGATTTGAAAAATGTTCCGGAGGGCTTGGCAGCGAAAGGGTTAACATGTTAAACATTAATTCATTTTAATCTTTTTAACTCTGCAGCTTTGACTTAAGTGATACCAGGTGATCCTGCCGGAGGCCCTTGTTCAGTCACTTCCTGTTATAGGGTGACAACTCCTTGTCCCTGTCTCCTAGTTGTGCTCCTACATTGTCACGCGGGCATCAGATGGAGGCTACAGCCGGTCCTGCTGACACTCATTACACAGGCATGGTCTACTGTTGTCACCATCAGAAAACCTGCCATGTGAAATGCCATGCAGCCATCGGTGAAGTGCATGTAGGCAGGAAGTGACTGCAGGAGATCAGCAGTACTAGGATGCAACAAAAGATTTGAAAAAAGGTGATTTTTTTACTAAGGGTGGCAACGTCTTTAGAAAGGGTATCCCCTGACCCTTATATACTCATCATAACAGCTCTCGATGGCAGCTCCTTGCTGAGATTGGCTGGGGGAGCGTTGACATCACTGCCCTGGTCATGTGAGCATTTCCAGGCCTAGCAATTGGCTACTAGGGCTGGGTCCCATCACGCAGGGGAGCAGATCATGTGCTCCTCCATTCCCAGGAAGTTCCAATATTGATTGTGAAGGAGCTGCCAGGAAGTTCAGGTATGGTGAGTATCTGGTCATCAAGGGGTCATCAAGGGATGCCGCTTTCCAGAGACGCTCACAACAATGTGTCTTTAAGACAGAATATTCAGATTGATGCTTAGGCCCATTTGTGCCGGGTTCTGTCAAAGCAATGACTGGAGTTCTTCCTAATTGCATATGATCTGAGGAGTATTTGGGAGCTGGTAATGATAAAATGGTGCTGTGTCTTTAGTCCAGTATAACATAGTCACCAGTGTTTTTTAACTTTGATATGGCAAAAATTGGCAGCACATAATAAAGGTCAATGTCTACAGAACCTCACAGGGTCTGTCCTTCGAGTCAACCTTGGAGTACTGGTTATGGGTCTACATCTGGGTTAGTCAGCCTCATCACTCCAACTGTTGTGGAATTACAAGTCCTATGAGGGATTGCAAGACTGACAGCCACAGGCATGACTCCCAGAGGCAGAAGCATGATGGGATTTTTAGTGTCACAACAGCTGGAGTGCCGAGGTTTCCTACCCCTGGTCTACAATCTATTGTAATAGCTCCACGTTGTGGCTGGTGGTGAAGGTGAAGCTCCTCTCCTTGTAAATGAAACGGTTTCTCATTGCAGCAGAAATTCACATTGCATTTGCCTCCATGGTGACTTTTCTCTCTCTGCTTTCCTTTACAGCCAAAGGCTCGTCCCTGACAGTTAATTGTTACACGAACTGGACAAGTGTGGTAACAATCAGCAACCTCCAGCTGGCTGTGTTGGGCTCCAAGATGCCTTTGAGTTTTCTCAAACTCTCTGCGGTCCTCAGGTGTAGAGCGATTCTGGATGCATCGGCCAGACCAGGATTGATTTCTGCCCAACCCTCTCTTGAAGCCATGTGTGTAGCAGTCAGTCCCGCGGCCGCTTCTATCAGTGTTAGTGGACTGAGCCCCTCGCTACAAACCTGTACGATTTCAAGTTGCGTCAAGCGCCACCTTTTGTCCTCCAGCCCGGGCAAAAGCGAAAGAGAGAACGGCCCAGTTTACTGTAACTTTCAGACGCCGAACAACGTCCATCGGAGAAGACGCGACGACCTTAAGAAGAGGAATACGGCTTTACCCAATAACGGCAATGATCCCGTGATTAACTACTAAAAACAAAAAATAGCACAACTACAAACAAAAAGAATAAGAAAAAGTTTCATGAATGAGACTGTTGAATGGGCTGGACAGCCTTTTTTTTCCCCCCAGGTTATACTTGCTAAGAAGCTGTGAGGAGTTTTAATGTCAATAATTTTGTCAGAAGCATTGTCAGGTTTTAGTAAAACAGAAACATTTTTATGTTTTCAGCTTACGCTTAACTTACTGTGATTGTATCGGTAACATTTTCAGACTAAAAACCAAATGAAGAGGCAGACTAATCTAGTTAACTCTCCCAAAGATTACCATGTGGTAGGAGGTGATTGATCAAGTGCACCATGTTTATTTTGTCAGCTGTGCCCCTCCCTAGCATCCATTTTCACTCTCCCTGTCAGAGCATTAGCCTGTTTCACCCCTGGCAGCCATTTTGACTCCCCTGTTGGTTAGAGCAGCCCCGCTCCCACTTCCAGCGGCCATTTTGACTCAACTCAATGTCCGAGCAATAGCCTGTTTCACACCTGGCTGCCATTTTGACTCTCCTGTTGGTCAGAGAAGTGCGCCTCCTGTTATCAGCAGCTATTTTGACTCCACTGTCTGTCAGAGCATTAGCTTTTTTACACCTGGCAGCCATTTTGACTCTCCTGCTGGTTATGGTAGTGCGGCTCCCCTTTCCAGCAGCCATTTCGACTCCATTCTCTGTCGGAACTATTCCCCACCTGCTTGTTTTGTACCTGGCAGCCATTTTGACTCCTCTGTTGGTCAGAGCAGTGCTTGTCCCCATCCAGTCAGCTATTTGAACTTCACTCTCTCAGAGCAGTATCCATCATGCTTGGCAGCCATTTTGACTCCTGTTGGTCAGAGCAGGACCTGTCCTCATCCAGTCAGCTATTTGAACGTCACTCTGCCAGAGCAGTGTTTTCCTCACACTTGGCAGCCATTTTGACAACTCTGTTGATTACAGTAGTACCTCTCCCACTTTTGGCAGCCATTTTGACTTCACTTTCTGTTAGAACAATATCCCCGTGCTTGTTTTACACCTGGCGGCCATTTTTGCTCCCCTGTTGGTCAGAGCAGTACCTCTCCCCAACCAATCAGCTATTGAACTTCATTCTTGTCAGAGCAGTGTCTCTCTCACATTTGGCCGACATTTGTATTCAAGTTGTAGGTTACCACGCCCAGTCAATGTCTTGTTTTCTTCAATATTCCCTTGTGGGGAAATGAAGAAAAATCACATTTTATGTGTGCTCTGTATTGAGCCAGTTGCTACTTCCTGTGAAAGAGCAATTCATTGCCACATAAGGTTGCCACCTTTTCTGGAAGAAACAAAATACTACCGGCCATACAACCTCTTTCTTAATAATGACATTGGCAACGAGTGCCATTTTTACAGGCCAGGCCGCAGCTCCATTGCCACATGACCAAATAAAGAGCGTTCCGGTATGAGTTGGTATTCCCTATTGGCGTAGATGCAGTGTTGTCCTTGCAGCTAATATCATTGAATCTGATGCTTATGAATTGTTTGTGGGCAGCTACATTCACCCAGATCAATAATTGTGCTCCAGCAGAAGCTTTACTCGGAGAGCCCCTTCTGTTAAACCTTTTAGACTTTAAAAGACTGCTAAACCTTAGAGCCAGGGGTAGGCAACCTCAGCCCTTCAGCTGTTGTGGAACTACAAGTCCCACGAGGCATTGTGAGACTGACAGCCCCAGGCATCACTCCCAGAGGTATGATGGGGCTGAAAAGCTGAGGTTGCCTAGCCCTGCCTTAGATGCTCACATCACCCTTGCTGATTATGCTTTCCAGATCCCAATCTGAGGAAAATGGAGATGTTTGGCTTTGCATTGACAGCAGCTGAACATGCACTACTGTTCGCTGATGTCAGTTTTTTATTTTTAAAGGCAGCTAACAAGATAGAAAAATATCTTCCGTCTCAATTTATCTCAAATATCTTTTGTTCTTCATTTTTTATTTTTTGTACTGCATCACTGTCTATGAATTGTGATAAAGTGCTTAGGACCATCAACCGTACAGTTCATGGAACAAATCAATATGCAGAACTGCCAAATGCAAGTCGCAGCCCGACATAAAGAACAACTGCAGACCTAGATTGGCTTTTATTTCAAAGTCTTGAAAGAATTGCTCATGTTCAGCTTAGTGGTGATGACCTGAAATCTGTCTATGTAGTTGCTGAATGTTGATATGTGGCTTGCAGCGCTAGTCCCTGAACTGTAAGCTGATGGGCTAGTGGTGGGGTTAGAAGGGAGAGAGATCAAGGTGGCCAGTGTGGTGTAGTCGAAGGTGGGGGGAGTCGCACAGGATAGTGTACATCAGGCCAAAATAAAAACACTTGGCAGTGCATCTTTCATTACATGCACATTGCCCCATGTTTTATCTAAATTTAAAAAAATGCTAGAAATTCAGAAAAATTACCCAGGAATCCAGTGTGCTCCCAACGTTCTTTCTGTTGGGAGCTGACAGCACTGCGACACTGAAATCCCTAGGAGTGTTGTCAGCCCTGCCCAGTCCTCCCTTAACTTTAGAAACCCTCCCCGATGCTGTTCTGTAGTCCTATGCACGGCTGACAACACCGCTGGGGATTTTAGTTTAGGGGTCGCTGAGTGGTCAGTTTACGACAGGAAGAAGACAAAATATGCAGCAATGTAGTTGTATTGCAGAGATGTGTTTTTGGCCATTCACTGGAGCTGTGCTATGAAGTTGTGATGATTATGGGGCAAGGCAATGTTCCTAAAGAAATATGGCAGCCAATGTAACCGGCTAATAAGTCAAATCAGCAGGAATAGACCAAGTAATACACTGTCCACCAATCAAGACTATAGCTTGAATATTTTTTTATGAATAATATACAGTGTGCTCTTAGTGCCGCCTGTTCACACCAGGCCATTGGGGTAACATTACGTTCACACCAGGCCATTGGGGTAACATTACGTTCACACCAGGCCATTGGGGTAACATTACGTTCACACCGGGCCATTGGGGTAGGAAGGGGGGGGTGTGAGTCACTTGATTCCCCCATACCTAGAAGTACCAAGTATTGTTCTTGTGGCAACAAACAAATCGGTAGAGGAGTGAACGAAAGCCAAGTATATACAGGAGAGGGGGCTGTAGCTTGGCCCTGCATGGGAAAATCACAGGTTCACTTGAAAATTTCAGTTGCGTCTACTGAGAAATGTTTGTTTTCTATTGCTCTGTGAGCACCGTCATCCTTTACAGACACCACGTGGCAGATAACGTGGACACATACCACTTGCAACAAGTAACATGTGAACCTTTGACAGTGGATGCAATTGACTTTTTTCAAGGCCTGCCTTGTCTCATAAGATATTACGGACCTGACTCACCATTGCATCCGATTGTTGCGAAGGTGGTGATATGCTTTAAAGAGGTTCTCCAGGGGAAAAAATATTCTCTTATGAAGGAGGATGATTAACCTGCAGCAGGAGAGTCAGTGGCTGTGTGTCAGGCTTGACCGCTTGTATGAAAGCAACGTTGGCGATAGATGAGGAGGTGCTTTGGATACATATTTGGTTCTGACAGCAGATTGGGAAACCAGTCAGATAATTTCAGATAGGGCCTCGGACTTTACAAAACCCTGTACTCTTGCAGGAAAAAACCCACCGCCAGCATGAATAGGAAGGAAGAGACTAACAGGGTTCTTCACAAAAGGGTGAAGAGTTTGGAGAAGACAGGAGAAGGGAACAATCTAGGACAACATAGCTGATTTGGAAACATCATTCAGCTATGTTCACTTCTCCTGCTTTCTCCAAACTCTTCACCCTTTTGTGAATAACGCAGTAAATCTTTTCTTGCAGAGTTTGAAAGGTAGCTGCAGAAGAAGACCTTTTCTTCTTGCCTGTCCATCAGGCCATTCCTCTAATCTTCTCTCTGTTAAAGAGAAGACTGCCTGAAGATTCCTAACATCTGACATTCTGGAAGTGTCGGATGCTTGCGCACCCTCACCATGGACTGTAGTTTCATCCACTGCCCCTTACACCACTACTGTGTTCTGTGGTAACATAAGGGGTGGTAGATGGAACCTCTGTGCACAGAGGGGGGACCAGGCATCTGATACTTCTGGATGTGTTGGCTGTATAGATTTTTTTCAGGCAGCCCTAGTTCTTGAACAGAGTGTAGATCGGAGGAATGGGCAGCAGGACAAGTGAGTATTAAAGGTCTTCTTTTGAATGTGATTTGACCTTAGAGGAGAGTCCGTCCCTTTATATATTGAGGCCCTCACAGCTATGCTCCTTTTTATATTGTTCTAAACCTGCAGGAGAGTCCTCCTGAAATAATTATAGATATTAGGCAAAAAGTAAGCAAAGTCTTCTGGCGAACTTGTCAAAACCATCGTGAACATGAACAGCAGGGTATTAATGTTATCAGTTGGTCCAGTTTGGCCATTTAGGCTTTCAAGTTTTGGGTGTCACAATTGGATCAATAAGAGCCCGCCTTGCCCCAGCAATCAATCAGCTTCCTGCTTTTAGGGTCCTTATGGAAAATTACAAAGTATGAAGATTCATCTCATCGGTTGCAGGAAAGGGTTGGATAGAACAACATATTCTCAGGCTGTTTTTGCTGGGCTGTTGCCTAAAATTGTGTGTTTGTGGACGCACAGATTCCCATATCATGTGTGAAATCGGTGTAATGCTCCTTATTCTAATGGGACAGACAGCCACCGACATGAAATCTTGCCTTCCTAGAGCCATGCATAGCTAAGGGTAACACAGACGGGTCATTGAAGCGAGTTTGCTCTTGACGTCCATTGGTACTATATCTTTACCAGCGTTGAAGGAGCCCAAGGTTATTACGGAGGCTTGTTAGATGTAATTATCAGGCTGCATGTGACCAAGAACCATTGACTGGCAGTATTCTGGTTTAGGATGTTTGGAATAGTAGATGGGAGTGTGCCGCTGGTCACCTAATTGACTCATATATGAAATGTTTAAGCTTGTTAGTGCGGGGTCATCAATATTAAGCCCTTTGGGTTTAGAGTAACCCAATGAAACAGGTGACCCCAGTCGGGTCCTAGACAGCTCCAGCATCATAAATGTAGTCAGGTTCCCCCTCCTGTTTGAATGTTGGAGCCTTTTTTTGTTGGTTCCTTCGCACCTTTGTTTCTATGAAAGGCAACTTGATATTCTCGGTGAACCTTTCACTATGTCCATAAAGCAATGTGGAAACTCCAAACTTTAAACCTTGTTTGGCACCTCTGGCATAAGATTCTCTTAGGGTAGTCATTTGTGAAAGGCCAAACTGCTCGGAATTTGCTCCTCCCACTTTTTTTCCAGCTGTCTCTTAAAACAAGTGCACGTCATCCCTTCAAAATCTTTTCCATGGCACTGTTAAATGGAATCTTTTTTATTACATTTTTTTTATTGTGATCGAGTTCCTCAGTTATCTGAGGAGCAGCCATAAAAGCAGCAAGTGGAATTTAAATCCAATTGACCCATGGTGATGCCTATCAAGGGATCATTTGCTTTTGTTTTAAGATGCATTGACCTGGATGTTAGGAAACGTTCGGCCTTATTTGTGTTTTTGCGAATAATAATCATTGAGATCCTAATTATGCTTCTTTCATACCGCTATGGAAAGTGTAAGTGACTATTCAGAACTCTTTGGCCATTTTGAAGCTAAAAACTGACCAGGTAATTTAGGAAAATCGCTGGCGGTTCAGGCCAGTAGGGGGGCAAATACTTTGCTACCTAATGAAATTCTTACCAGTCTGTCCACACAAAAAAAAACATTCTCCGCAAGGTGGCAATATGATTGTATTATAGAACTATTGCTTAAAACTCCTACTGTTTCTTTAACCTGAAGAATAAAAAAAATGAAAATTATTATAAGTTTAAAAAAAAAACTTTAAAAACCCTACTTTTTGTATCTTTATTTTGGAATTTCTTCTATCATATGGAAAAACAAATTGAAGTATCCCTATTTCAAGAAACGTATTTTGTTAAGAAAAAAAGAAAATGATTGTACATATTGAAATATGTATTTTTGCACAGGTCTTTTTTGTTTTTATTTTTTTTTCCTTATATCCAGTTTTGGTACAATGGAGATCATCTAATATTTATTTGTTAATAAAAAAAAGAATACCTTTTATGATTTGAAGTGATTCACTGCCAAGCCTATATTCTGACATGCCTAAGTATAACCATTTTAAGGGATTCCTCCGTTTTGGGGGCCTGAGTTTCCTTTCTCGGTGTCTGTGGAGTGGATTATTATCAATTGTATGCCATGCTATTAGTTGCCTAAAATCAGCGGGTTTAAGCTGTAGCTAAGGGGCTATCTATGTTTTTTTTCTTTTTTTTTTTCTTTTTGGAAAACTCTGTTCTATACCTGTGTGTGCAAATGAGGGCACCTATGTGCTTGTGTGTGATTTTTAGTCTAAATAGACCTAAAACCTACAGAGAAAAATGAAAAGTGCCTGGTTCTAGTTTCCAAGCTGTACTCTTTTTTTAGCTTTTCCTTAACACTTGAATGTTCAGTTGGGTTTTTTTTGGGGGGGGGGTTTTCAGAGCTTTTTTTTGTTTTTATCGCAGTTTATACAATTTGTACTACAGGCAATGAGAGAGAACTACTTACGACAGCATTTAAAAAATTTTTTTTAAACGCCCATCTTGCCGAAGGGACCAGACCTGCCTCTATGGCTCTGGGTTAAATTTGGTTGATCCATTTTGTTTCCCTCCTACCGGTGACGGCGCAGGTACTTGACATCAAGGTTGGTGACCAACGTGTATGTATAGCGTAGCTATTGTTTTAGGAGAAAATTTAAAAACTAAAAGTAGTTTATTTAATAGAGAACTGAATAAAATATTTTTTATATAAAACAAATTAGATTTTAAAAAAATGCCAGATACCTCGTGGAAACTGAATCTATATCGGAATTCCAAATGGAATGTCGTGATTTTTAACGATGTCTTCCTCCGAGTTCCCTTTGCCAAGGAAATTTTCTGGTCCCTTTTGGCCTTTTTTTTTTTTTTTGTAGATTTAGAAAAGTGGTTTCCGGACCTAAGAGAATGCGTCTCTCTGTTTACTAAAGACAAGTGAAACCTCTGAAAGATTTTAATGACTTGAATTATTCATTTGGACGGTGAATATTCATGAAGTACAAGTCCTCTAAAACAATAAGGTAGCATTCTCTTCGACAAGGAATTTACCTCACAAAATGGCTGCTGCTTCCCTTGTGTGGTTGACGGGCTATCCTTATATAAGGCAGGGGAGCACTGCTTCAGTCCTAGTAGGCCACCATCCTCACAGGCTTTGATATCTCTCTCCCTCCCAGTTGCTAGGCTATCTTTTGACTGCAATACTACAAATCACTCATTTAGATCTTGGGCCAGAACTTCTGACCATAGAGTGGCAACCCTGGGCCACTAAAAACTGGACTTGTAATGGTTGGTATTAAAGCAGAATTAAACTGGCCTTCCCTGGTTGGCGCCAACATTGGGACCTGGTCTTTTTCAGGGTTTGGGATCTTTGGTCATGTTGATTGGCCAACCCGAAGTGATGAATGATGCAAATCACTCATTTAGATCTTAGGCCAGAGCTTTTGACCATAGAGTGGCAACCCTGGGCTAATAAAAATTGGACTTGTAATGGTTGGTATTAAAGCAGAACTAAATTGGCCTTCCCTGGTTGGTGCCAACATTGTGACCCGGCCTTCTTTAGGGTTTGTGATCTTTGGCCAACCCGGAATGATGAATACTGTGAATCACTAATTTAGATCTTAGGCCAGAATGTCTGACCTTAGAATTGCCACCATGGGCAACCCTGGACCCTTAAAAATGGGACTTGTAACCTTTTGGTAGTAAAGCAGAACTAAACTTGCCTTCCCTTGCTGGCACCAACAGTGACCTGGACTTCTTCCTGCTTTTGGGATCTTTGGCCAACCTGGAATGATGTAACTCCCGCACGTGCGTGGGAGTTCATTCATTCTTTGACCAAGGTAAGCGTACACAGCTCAGTGTATATCATACAGAAGATTTTGAACAGGCAGCTAAGTCTGTTTCATTGCAGAGACCTTGCGTGTCTATTCTTCACTGAAGAGCCCATCTGCTTGCTTTTTTTTTTTTTTTACTGTTTAGTTCTGTTTTAAGAACGGCTGATTGACCCAAGTATTGAAGCCATTGGAATAGCCTGACAGCCAGGAACCTACCATTTTCAGATGTTACCAATATCAGCCTACATCACTCCTTAAAGGATCATTCTACCAAAATTTGTTTTATTTTTTAGTAGATGCTAGTAAGGTGAATCACAGTCTCCTTCTATGTCTTGGGGACTCTGGTGCCAAGATCAACTCAACATAGTTTCTGATTCTCCTTCCTCTACCTTAGTCTCACTCCTCCACCAGTCCTCCATAACATATAGAAAAGTATAACCGGGACCCCCTGCTAACAGCCACAGCTGAGAACTCGGTGGTCTTGCCACTTGGCGTTCCTGAGACTTAAAAGAATCTGATTACCTCACTAGCATCTATCAACCTTGGTGTGACCTTTGATGAGAGAGTATGGAGACTGCTATGGCTGGTAAAAAATGTCTTTCTAGTTTTCGAAAGCGCATGCCAGTGTGGGAACCATTTTCAGGTTTTAATTCCTGTCTAAGGGGAGATTTGTCCCTCTTTCCTGTTGGGCAACAAGAACAGGAAATGACAGCAATTCTCTCGTTTCCTGTATAGGTGACCGATAGTGGTGATAGCAATGTTTTTCAATGGTGACAGAGCAAAAAATACTTGTATATATTTATATATTTTTTATTTTTTTTGTAAGGTGGAGGAAGATTGGAACCACTGTTAAGGTGCCCATACACCTGCAGATTATCGTGCGACAATCGCGGGTGATCCTGCAATCGTATGATAATCGGCAGGTGTATGGGCGGCGTGCGACCGCATCTACTGTACGGTCGCACGACTTTCGTCTTCCTAGCACGCTGGAAAACCGGCGGGTTGGTAGCGTGCTCAGAAGACAAAAGCAGCACGGGCCGGTGTGCGCAAGCGCACACTGCCTGCTCAGCATTGCAATCATCGGCAAGCCCTCCCCTCAGTGGGGAGGGCTTGCGATGATCGCAAGTATGATCTACCTGTCTAAGATGGGCAGGTCGTACGAAATTTTAATGACCTTACAACCATCGCACAACGAAAGTCGTGCGATGGTTGTAAGGTGTATGGCCAGCTTTAAGTTTTTGTTTTTTTTATGTTGGCTTTTTCTTTTTTGTATTTCTGGAGTCACCTGGACAGGAAGTAAATCTCCCCACGGAGAGCTCCAGACAACAACCTAACAAAAGAAGTTCTAACCCTTTTTCAGCAGTTAGGAAGCTGTGTGTAACACAAAATGATTGCCTGGCCCAAAAGGACTGAAGCGGTGCAGCCCCAGCGTCACGGGTCAGGGTGTATGCCGAAAAGATGGACCTGAAAGCCCCTCGATTTAGGAGATAACCGCGTAGGATGACGTTCTGTACAAGCTTTGCATTACAGGATGACACAAGCACTACAGGTTGTCAATGTGAATGTAGTTCTTGGAAAGCAAACTCGCTCTTGTCTATTTTTCTTCTCCGTAAAATGTGTGAATAGTTTGATCATTTGTACACATAATCAGGAGCATCTGATCAGCTGGACGTTTGGCTGCTGTTTAGTTCATGAACAAAATGTCATGGCATAGAAAAAAAGAAAAAAAAATTACTTTGGATATTTAAAAGAAAACAAAATATATAGTTATTTGTTTTGTAACAAGTTTATGTAAATAAAATAATTTATACTATTTATAAGAAAAGAACATTGTGCTTTGCTTTATGAGAGGATATCTAGTTTGTTGAACAAACGTGTTACTTCAATGAGGCAATAAATGTAGGAATGTTTAATAAATGACGCCATCACTGATTATTGCAGAATATCGATGAGGGGGCGGGGGGGTTTCGCTGAGGTAAACATGACACTGCTTTAGTGCTGCAACAACTAATCGACTAAAATCGGATATAACCGATGATTGAAAAAGTTGTCAACTTTTTCAATCATCGATTAATCGGCTTTCGATTAGTTGACCCTGTTCAGGGCTCCACACGCGCCGCACCTCCTCCCCACCTCACGCTCGTTGCTGCCAGACCCGGCCTCCGCCCACATCCACGATCGGCACAGGGACGTGGGGAGAAGACGACGTAAGGAGGAGCAGGTGTGGGGGGATGACAGCCGCCGATAGACAGGCCCGATCTCAAAAGCAAGTTGCTGGAAGACTGCTCAGGTAAGCCTGCACTTTCCACACATGGTGCTCTATAATGTATCGCTGGTATTTGTAGTCCTCTGTAGCTGACGGTACATTGCGCTGTACTGTATATTATACCATCAGCTATAGAGGACTACAAATCCCAGCAATACATTATACACTATGTATAATGTATTGCTGGGATTTGTTGTATTCCTCTATAGCTGGTGGTATTCTGCATGCATTGCTGTATAATTTTACACTTGCCATTGCACTATATTGCCCACCACACTTTTTTTTTTACTTCCACCGCTCCAAGCTTGCTCCCATGATGGACTACAATCTCAATACAAAATAGTAGTCCCATCACTGGAGCCATTTTTTTAAATGTTATTTTATTTTTTATCCGATTAATCGAACGTAATAATTGGCTAATTAATCGATTTTTGAAAATAATCGTTAGCTGCAGCTCTACACTGCTTTACAAAAATGTTTTGGGGCTTAAAGGAGAACTATGAGGTGAGTGAAAATCACTCAGCCTCAAAGTTCTAGCCGACCTGTGACAATGAAACTCGCACGTCGGCTCAATAGGATCGGGAAGTGAACGAACACATGCTGTTGCTCGCTCACTTCTCGATCCTGTCCCTGCAGAGAGCCGTTACTGTCACTCATGGCTCCCTGCAGGGATTCCCTCGTGGTATACTGAGCTTTGGGTGACGGGAGGACGCTAGTTTGTGTCCTCCCGTTACCCTTAGGAGAACTATGGGGAAAAGCCCTGACCCCTTAGCTCTCCTTTTGAAGCAGAGCTCCTCGGGAAATAATTATTAGGTAGCCTGGCACTGCAAGGGTTAAGTGCTCATTTTGGTCTAAGGAGCAAAATAGTTCTACTTAATCCTCGGAGCCGGAAGGCTGTGACAGCGCTCCCACCAACCTGGCACCTCCTCCACTGCAGCGATGATATATCCCTTGGCGTCCTCACATTCTATACACTAGCAGGGTTATTCACAAAAGGGTGAGGAGTGTGGGGAAGGCCGGAGAAGGGAACAATCTAGGTCCTAGGAGAACATAGATGATTGGCAAACATTCTCCAATTCAGCTCACTTTCCAGTTCAGCTATGTTGTCCTAGATTTAAAAAAAAACACAAACAGGGGGCGCCTTTCCTGGTGCAGACAAATTTATTAAGATCAGGATCAAAGGTAGATAAAAAACATACTCACAAAATTCAGCATGATAATGATATAAAAAGTAAGTCCATGGACCCAACAGAAAGTCTATGGAAGCTGCACAATCGTGTCTATGTGTCAGCAGAGGAGACTGTGTGATGACGCGTTTCCGGGGTCACGCCCCCTTCATCAGATGAAGGGGGCGTTCACTTCTCCTGCCTTCTCCAAACCCTTCATCCTTTTGTGAATCGCCCTCTATATATTGGACGTGATGACTCACAGATCTTAGACCACTGGAGTGGAGGGGGAGAGAAGCTCCAGGGACCGGTATAAGAGCAAGCCGGTGTTCTAACATAATACTGGACTTGGTTAGAATTCTGGACCGCACGTCAGTTCCGGTGGCGTGGTCTCCGATTTCTAATGAGAGCTCAAGCGCGGAAGAGTAGACTAAGTCCATAAATGTTACCGAATATTTGCCTGTATTGTGCATGTACTATCGCAGTGATGGTGAACCTTTTTACGCCCGGGTGCCCAAACTGGTAAGATCTCCAACTCATTGTCATGTCCGGTGACTTGTCAGTAGGAGATTTGTACGAGATGGCGCTAGTGCGCGTGCACCAGCCGTGGCAGTTTAAGAATCCTCGAGTTCTCCAATTCCCGTCAGTGCGGCATCACAATCCTCGTCATTGCAAAGCAAAGGCAGCCAATCAGAGACCATCTGCTGCCAGCAGATGTCATGTTCTGCCATCGGGTGGGCGTGCAGGTGCAGTAACCCCAATTGGAGAACTTGATACTGTTCCTAGGTGGGCGCACTGACGGGAATTGAAGAATTTGACGAGCATTGTGACGCCGCACAGGTGCACTGATGGGAATGGGAGAACTCCACAAGGATTCTGACACTGCCATGGCTGGTGTACGCTCACTAGCGCCATCTCTTCAAAATCTCCTACTGGTAAGTCCGCTGACGTGACGAGTTGGAGATCTTGATGAGTTGGCCATTTCGATAGAACACTGGGACGGTTGGGCCTTTTCTCAGGGGCGGGCCTGGAGTGGGAGCTCCAGGCACCCCTATGTTATTCCGGACCTGGGCTCGCGTGCCCACTGTGGCATGCGTGCAATAGGTTCATCACCGCTGTGCTATCGGGTCGAGATAGTTTTCAGGCAAAACACCTGTATCGGGTGGCCGATGTGGGTGCAGATAATTCACAGGCAAGACACCTGTGTGGCAACGTAATGAGATATACCACAAATGAAAAATAAAACCTAGATAAAATCATTACAATGTATGTGGATTGTGTAAAGGAATCAGGTTTCCAGCACCTTGCCTGTGCATTGTGTAAAGGTAGTGGCTTCCCAGGACCTTGCCTGTTCATTTTCTGGACCCGCACAATTGGCTGTGAAATATCTGGACGCATCTGGAAGTCTAGAAATCTAACAGGTCCAGAAAACTACCAGTACACCAGCTCCGAAGATCGGGCAAGTATAACTTTATTTTAAACCCTAGACCAAAATGAGCTGTTAATAATGATGTTCCCCGAAGTTCTGTTCCACCTTTGCAGTTAAATTTGAGAAAATACCACCATGTGTTCCCATTCACGCTGTGTATGTATATACACACTATTGCCAAAAGTATTGGGACACCCCTCCAAATCATTGGATTCAGGAGTTCCAATCACCTCCTTGTCACAGGTGTATAAAATCAAGCACCTAGGCATGCAGACGCTTCTACAAACATTTGTGAAATAATTGGTTGCTCTCAGGAGCTCAGTGAGCCAACCAGGGAAGGCCAATTTAGTTCTGCTTCAATACCAACCAGGAGCTCAGTGAATTCAAGCGTGGTACCATGATAGGTTGCCTCCTCTGCAATAAGTCAATCCGTGACATTTCATGCTACTAAATATTCCACTGTCAACTGTTACTGGTATTATGACAAAGTGGAAGCAACTGGGAACAACAGCAACTCAGCCAGGAAGTGGTAGGCCACGTAAAATGACAGAGCGGGGTCAGCGCATGCTGAAGCGCACAGTCCGTAGAAGTCGCCAAATGTCTGCAGAGTCAATAGGTACAGACCTCCAAACTTCGTGTGGCCTTCAGATTGGCACAACAGTGTGTAGAGAGCGTGGGCTGCAGTGGTGTAAAGCACGCCACCACTGGACTCTAGAGAAGTGGAGACGTGTTCTCTGGAGTGACATATCACGTTTCTCTGTCTGGCAATCTGATGGACGTGTTTCTGGGTTTGGCGGTTGCCAGGAAAACGGTACTTGCCTGACTGCATTGTGCCAAGTGTAAAGTTTGGGGGAGGGGGGATTATGGTGTGGGGTTGTTTTTCAGGGGTTGGGCTTGGCCCCTTAGTTCCAGTGAAGGGAACTCTTAAGGCATCAGCATACCAAGACATTTTGGACAATTTCATGCTCCCAACTTTGTGGGAGTAGTTTGGGGATGACGCCTTCCTGTTCCAACATGACTGCGCACCAGTGCACAAAGCAAGGTCCATAAAGACATGGATGAGTTTGGGGTGGAGGAACTTGACTGGCCTGCACAGAGTCCCGACCTCAACCCGATGGAACACCTTTGGGATGAATTAGAGCGGAGACTGCGAGCCCGGCCTTCTCCTCCAACATCAGCACCTGACCTCACAAATGGTCCAACATTCCCATAGACACACTCCTAAACCTTGTGGACGCCTTCCCAGAAGAGTGGAAGCTGTTATAGCTGTAAAGGGCGGGCCAACCCAATACTGAACCCTATGGACTGGGATGCCATTAAAGTTCATATATATTACATGTTGCTTAGTATTGCTTCTGAACAGAAGAAGAGAGGTTCACTCTCGAAAGCTTGTCTTTTATATATTTTGTTAGTCCAATAAGAAAGGTATCATTGCACACTGCAATACTGCGTTTTTGTCTTTTTTGACATCTTGTCTACTGGACTGATACGGCTTACCCATTTATATTGCACTATATATATATATATAATATTTTTCCATCTTCACTGCATATATTATTTTAGATCCAGGGATGTCAGCAATGGGTCTGTGTACTCTCCTATGCAGTGCAGGCAGATCATGTCTGGTGGGCATGCTCTACATTGCTCACTGAAACCAGCAGACCAGCCTCAGTAGCAGCCACATATCATACTAAGCCTCCATTACTAAAAGAACTGAAGCCCAATGAATGAAAGGGATGTGCCAGCGACAGTCGTGGCTGGTGGCAGGGATCGACAGAGTGCTGTACATAACTGCCTGAAAAATATCACAGCTCCCTGCCTCAGTACTCCGTGCAAGAGCCCTCAGTGATGATGCAAGCAGGGGGCTGGAGGAGTTATGCAAATATTCATACGCTGTAAAGGGTGAACGTCAGCCTGGAGAACGGGGCATTTCTAGGAATTGCAGGATTCTCACAGACATGACTCCCAGAGACAGATGCATCATGGGATGTGTAGTTTCACCACAGCTGGAGGGCCAGAGTTGCCCACCCCCGCTCTGAGAGGTGAATATTTTCTGCCTTCTATCGCAGGGCATAAAGATGTAATAATAATCTTTCCCTTTCAATGTGCAGCCGGCCATGAATTTCTACAAGTGCCAAGAAATCCAAGTTTTCCACTTCCTGGCAACTGTCTCAGTGCACAGATAGTCCCATGTGATTGGTTCATTGTACAGAGCAACAAGCGTCCACTACAGGACACGTTTGGGGAAGTACACATAACAGGGGACTGGGGCTTTCTTATGGAGATCCTCCCCACTTTCATCAGTCTCTACAGGACAGAAGCAGGTAAGAATCTGCAGCAATGTTTGCCAAATCCTTCCAATGTATACAGAGAAGCTGCAAGAGATTGAGGATTCTCAACAACAAAAAACCCTTTCGCTTCACTTTAAGAGAAACTGTCCAGATACAAATGCTGACATCCCTCATTTTTGCTTTTTAGAAGGGTCAGCTCCAGGGCCATCCTCCTAATCCTCAGTTGTATCTTCACACTTCATTTTATTATCAAAAGGATCTCAATTGTATTCAGCTTTCATCCCAGAAGATGCCCCTACTGCCTGACCCCCCTACGCCAGGAGCCGGCAACCTCATGAGACTTGTTCCACAACAGTTGAAGTGTCAAGGTTACCTACACCATGAAACAATCCAGAATGGTGGGAGGTTACCTGGACAAAAACCTTTCAAGTGTCGTTCATTTGGCAGTTTAGAGTATTGTAATTTTTTTTTGTGTGAGTTCACAGGCGCACGCAATGTTAAGACTTTACATGTTTGGTATCTATTTACACAACGTGACCCCATCTTTTATATATATATATATATA